GAAGAACCCCAAAAAATGGTGGATGAAAGTATGGATTGGGGGGGGTTACGATGAAGAGGATTTGCCTCTCATGGATGAAACATGTGATGGACAAGGGATGGATGAAAAGAATGTCGAGGCAGCGCCCGATAGGGAGGTGAAGAGCGACGAACATAACTTGGATCAAAAATGCGAAGAATGTCGAGAACCTCTTCCGGCTGCTCACGTAACGCTGGTGTTCCCCATGCCCTCGAGGAAACAAGCCGAGGTGATCCATGCCCTGAATTCATTGGTCACCAGATTCCGGTATCTTGGGGTGTACGTAGACAGACTGCACTCAGACAAGGCCAGGGAACTGGTAGAATCCAAGCAGGTCCAAAAATGGTGTGCCGCCAGGGGTCTCCTACAAACAACAACTGGAGGAGATAACCCTGCCAGCAACGGACATGTGGAAAGCGAGGTGAATCAGTTGAAGAGGAGGACCCGGCTCCTACTCCGACAAGCTGGACTGTCAGCAACATCGGGGCCGATAGCCCTCAGGCATGCTGCTGAGGATCGTCTCCGCCACCAGCTGGAAGGGTTGGGGTCCCCACAGGTTCCCATGATCGACTTTCATGCCAATGTTCTGGCCAAACGACAGAGATGGCACAGTAGAGGTCCATTAGCGCCTCCGTTTGTTGAAGCCACCCTGTTGTGTCCATCCCCGGTCATGAACCATGGTTGGTCAGTACGAACTCAAGAGGGTCAGGTACTACATGTTAGGGAAGCTGTGGTCCCATGTGAAGATGCGGACAACGCCGCGTTGGCTCTCCATGAACATGCACGTCCACCCATGATTCTCGAGCCTTCCTATCGTATCCATGGAAAACAACGGGAATCCGGGGGGGAGCGCGCGGGTTTGGTGGATGGTTTGAATGGTGAAAACTCGGTTGGGGATGATGAAAATGTTGATGATGAAAAATTTCGGGAAGATGGGGATGGTTGGACATTATAGGGGATGATTTCAACATGGAAGTCCCACCGGAAGAGTGGGCCTGGATGAACAAGCGTGGGATCGCCCTTAGGAAGGTCAAGCGAATCCAAATTCATGATGCCTTCTTGGATCAGCACCTTGGTCTTTTGGATGCAGTGCGAGATGCACTGAACCACGTGCCCCTTGGAAGTGACGAAGGAGGTCATCAGGGGTGGTGGCTGGAGACTCTTCAGTCCGAACGGCTGGCTTTGCAAAGGAATCTCAGTGTCTTGGATAAGGAAGCTGGGAGTAGTGGTTCGCGACTTTGTGCAGTGCAGGCTGGGGGGAGTGAACAACCTTCCACCGGAACGGATGAAGTGCTCCAGACAATGACTGTCTCCTTGGACGTGGTGCGAGGTGACTTGGAAGCTTGGAAACCCGCCATGAGAGCGGAATATGGCAGCTTGGTTAATGAAACATCGGCAATCCAACCTGTGAAACTTGGTGACTTGGATGAGAGCCAAGTTGAATTTGTGCCTGCATGGGAAACTTGTCTGCACAGTCAAACCGGGGTTAAATGGGGGACGAAAAAAGTGTCGTGGTGTTGTTTGCGGGAATATGGTTCAAGAATCATCAGAACCCACCAATGCCTTGTACGCTTCGGGAGCAGATGGAACCATGATTGGGGCAGTGCTGAGGCACACAGCAATGATGTCCTGGGCTCCCCGACGTCCACCTCCAAAGGGCACCAGGGAAGTAATAGTAGTCCCTCCAAAGATCCTTGTCCAAGCGGGCATATGCAGTCATGATGAGAGATGGCGTGTTCATCGCGCAGATTTGGACTCATGATGGGAAGGGTAACATGTTGGACTGCGTAGGACATGTGATAGTGTACGTGGATGATGTTCTGGTAGCTGCTTGTGAAGATGTGAGAAACGGATTTTTGGGGAGACTCCGGGAAGAGTGGGCAACTTCCTCTCCAGAAGATGTGACCTGCAATGGTTGGGTGCGATTTTGTGGGTTCGAGCTGCGATGGGACCAAGAAGGGTTTCTCCATGTTGCCCAGCCGTCGTATACTCATGAATTATTGGAACGTCATGGTATCACGGGTAAAAGGGTTGCTCCTATATCCAAGGTTGGGGTCCCTGAACAATCCTGAACATGAGGAAAATGACATCACTCCAAGTGATATCAAGGCTGCCCAAGGAATAGCCGGAGAGCTTCTCTGGTTATGGGTTCGCAGTAGGCCGGCTATTTCTTTTTCAGTGGGCCAAATTTGTCGCCAGGTTAGTCATCACCCCAAATGGGCACTTCAAGTTGGACGAGGGGTCCTGGAATATTTGGCTTCCACCCCCAATCATGCTTTGGTGTATGGTCCATGCGTTAAGGATCGTGGACCCGGTGGCATTCTCCCAATTGAGAGACATCCGCATCTGGTTGAGGCATACTCAGACATGCGTAGCTTCCAAGGAGTTGTCATCCTCTACGCTGGATGTCCTCTCCGGTGGGAGAGCGGGCGTCAATCGTTCGCGACCATGTCCACGGCGGAATCAGAGCTCCTCGGCTATACCGAGGCCACTACAATCGCCCAGTCGGTTGAAGCTCTGTTGAAGATCCATGCGGATGTCACCTTCGAAAAACTTCTTTGCGGCGACAATACCAGCGCCATCAGCATCTTGACAAAACCTGACGGGCCGTGGCGCACTCGCCATCTACGGCTGAGGTCCACTGGTTTGAAGGAGAAACTGAATGATCCTAAACAGTGGCTGGATGATTCGTCATTTGAAGGGTACGGGATTGATAGCTGATTTTCTCACCAAACCCCGAATTTCAAGGGCTGAATGGATTGCGTTTTGGGAGTATATGAAAATGAGGGAGTACGGCGCGACCCCCCTGGCTACTGAGGAGACTGAGGTACATCACGGCACAGCATCTAAGGAACCTGGCACAGATTTGGCAAGGTCGCCAAGTTCGGGATGCTGGTTGGCACTCTGCATGCAGTTGCCGAGCACTATGATGTCGGTCCTGATCGGGATGAACTCATGCTGGCTGTAGCAGTGCTTGCCGTGGTTCTGGTCATCTGGTTGTACAAGCTGACGCGGCGCTCAAGTTCGCTCGATGTGAGTGGTTCGGTCAACGGTTTTTGTGAAGGGTCTTCGGCCATCAAGGGTGTACAGGGAACATTGTGTAAAGGTTGGGATAACTTGAAGCGAGCAGCCTCAGATGTCTCCCATTTTTGCAAAAGTCTCACGGTCCTTGAACAGGTGGACCACAGCGAGCTGGTGGAAGGCTTGGAACAAGCCTCCCACATTTCGTTTCACCCTGATCATGGTGATGATCTGTATGAGATGTTTCAAGAAACAATTGAAGATCCCGAACAAGAAAGATCAAGAGCCACTGGCCCACAAGAAAGAAAGAACGAATGGAGTGAGGGAACGAGGGAACATGAACCCGTTCTCCAAGGCTGTGAAGGTGACGAGGTAGGTCGTGTCATGGGCTCTGGGCTTGGCTCTGGGTTTGGCTCTGGGTCTGGCTTGGCTATGGCCGGCTTGAACACTACCTCTGAAGATCGTCGACAGAATGAAATGTCAGAACTGTTTGACAGTAGCCCTTGGGGCTCCCGGCCCATACCGGACGCGCGACCCTTGCTGAAAGCAATGGCAGCTCCAGCAATTGGTGCTCGAGCATTCGAACCTCCTCCAGCATTGCCTATAGGGATGTTCCCCTCGACCCTGGAAAGCAGTTGGGTCCCTCCCGCATCACGGTGAAGCACTTTTCTGGATGATGGTCGCGGCGAGGTGGTTCATGATCGCTGGGGGGCGGTGCCCACTAGTGGCGCCAACCAATGGCGTGGCTACAGTGTGTTTCCCATGGATGATGCTGGACTTCATTCGGCTGAGGTGAATGCAGCTGCTGACACTGATGGTGGAGAACGGGATCCTTCTGTCATGGAACGACCACGAAGGCATTGTGGAGACAGGCCATCTCCTGCCGAACTCCAATAACAAGTGGAATCTGAAGAAGATGACGGGCTTACCGTCTTCATTGGACAGCATGTCCATATGTTGCTGGGAGATCCACCTGCCAACTACGTGGGTCCCAGGCCGGAATCTGGTCTCCTTCCTCGAGTGCCTGGTGAAGATGGTGGCTTGACCTCTTACGGTCCCATCACCTTGGATGAGTATTTGGATGAAGCTCCACACCGCCTTGAACTTGGACACAACGATCAAGGACTACCGACTCGGCACCCTGAGCTGGTGAGGCCTACCCCTTCGCGACTGGGAACCAATTATGCCCATCATGAAGGTGTGAGAACACTGCACCAAGCTTCCTCGGCTTCCTTGGGGCATCGAGCTTCAAGTAGCAGTGCAGTTGCCGTGAGGCATGGTCGACCAGACTCTGCAGCTGAGAGGGGGGTGGCGGCGATGTCTGCGGTAAACCGCACCAATCCGCCACGCATCACGAGATGGCGAAACTCCCGCAAAAGTGATCAAGATGATGATGAAGTGGCCAGCTCCATCATCTCTTTTGAAGAGGTGGATGCATGAAGGGTCCATATGCTGAAGACCAACTTCTGAGGGCCGGGCTTGGGTAGCTTGGCTGAATCTTTTGCTGGTACGTCCCAGCTCTCTCCTCTCCTAGTGCGCTGTAGTTCGGCCTTAGGCCGAAGGGGGAGTGCGGATAAGAATTTCTGCACAAACCTGGCATTTTAAACGATCTTTAGGACATGTTGCCACTGTTTAGGGATAGTGCAAGGCCTGAGGAAGATTAGCATGGCCCTGCGCAAGGAAGACACAGGCATGAAGCACTTGCCACAGGCATGAAGCGCTTGCCACAATGGTATGGCTCAAGAAACGGATGCAGCTGTACTGTGCGCAGCTGTCAACGAACGCAGTTGGTGTTCAGTGGAAGCAATCAAAGAGGATTCATGGAGAGCCAGACAGCATCACCAAAGTTGGGTGAGTGGGACACAAATGAAGAGACTACTTGAGAGCGGGGCGCCACCATAGGGGGACTCAGCTGAGGGTCCCAACACAAGACTGTTTGAGCAAAAACAAAAAATGCAACTTCACGATGTCGACCCACTACAAAAGAGCTGGGATATGATGTGCATGAAATCAGGGACTGGACAAACCATATCAAGCTCTGTAGGTCCCGGACTATTGTGCCCATAGACGTGAAAGAAAAGCCCCACGTTCTCAGACCATCCTTCCACTTCTCGAACACCCTTGACCCAGGTCAATGCTGCTTCCTGTCACAGATTTGAAAGCACGTGAGACACATTGAGACACTCTCAAGGTGCTGTCATCTTTCTGCAATGAAAATGCCAAAGAGTCTGTTATATTCTCTTTCATGTTGTTCATGTTGTTCATGTTGTTCATGTTGTTCATTCAGTTCATTCCTGCTTTATTTTGTAACCAATTCAGAGGAATTTCTTCAACGTCCGAGCTCATCGCCTTCATCATCCTGATTTCGGACAAGGCATCAGGGCAGCAATGGCACTCCGGATAGACCATCTCGTTATCATCCAGCATACCTCAATGTTCGCACACAAACGCTGGAAACAGCCGATGTAAACAAGGGCAACATCATTTGTCTCCCGTTCTCGGTCTGCCGTGCCTCCCCTTTTCGGTTTGAAAACTGGAACTTGAAACCTTTGAAGGCTGAACGCCTGAAATGAGGAAGGTTGGAAAGAAACATGTGGAACTGTCAAAAGTTCTTGGAGCCAGATTCAAAATTTATCGAAAATTCTGGAATTGGTCAAACAAAGCACAGCAACACAAAGACCACACCGGCTACCCCAAAACACACTTGATTGCCTACTCAGCTGCTGAGCGGAAGAGAAATCTGTTTTGAATATTGAACTCTACCGACTCTACCTCTGTCATCCACTGTCCAGTCTGATAAAGCGTTGTGCGAACCTTTGAGGCCGGTCCCCCAGGCTCCTTGAACTGAGTGGCCGAAAACTAAAGCGTTGAACCAGCGCCAGTGAAGATTTCTTCGAATCAAAAAACGATGACGTTTCGACATGGACGCTTTGCCCACCCATCCAGGATCGTCTGAGTCCCAGTGTGAATCGTTGGCCGGCAAGTTATTGGCAATGATGTACTTGGCCTGACATTCCCCAAAAAAAATGGATCAAACCCAAATTCATGTGCCAAGGTCAGATAAAAAAAAATCCTCTGGCAAACGCCCGTAAGAATTTAGCCTCACCTCAACTCTCAACTCTTGAAACCGTGGAAACCCCACGATGCTTGCCTGCCAGTGTAGCAAGAAGGTCTGTTTGTTGGCAGTAGAGCCAGTGTAGGAGACCGCCGCCTTAGTTCAAATGCATCTTACGTGATATCAGGGGATAACCAAAACAAACATACACAATCAAACAATGGCACCATATCGCACAACATGCTGCGACGCAAACCTTGCGGGACCAGCCTCACTTGCGTTGCATACGAACTAGTCTTTAGCTTGGTCTAGTTTGGACAATTCAATGCCATTGTGAGTGCAGTGTGTGCACGCAATGAGGACACCGCTCTGGCCAAGTCCCAGAAAACTCTGCCAAATGCGTGGCAAGCAACCTGGTTTGCAAAGCGCTTTCTGGCTGTCACCACTCGCCAGTGACGCTGGACTCTGAGGACAACCCGCATGTATCTGACCTTCTCGGCATCCTGATACCGATGGCTCATGTTAACTACTACATTTCTGTCATGGATTAGGAAATGCAACCGTTCTTCGTTCCTTGTTTCCTGCCTCTTCTCTGCCTCTCGTTCTGATCTTACTTGCTCTTGTCTGTTTAAATAAATCTGATATGACCAAACTGCATCAAAGCCCAAGGCTTGGCAACGGTTTCAAACAATTCCACGACATGATCGAACATCGTTTTTTGTGTTCGCAACAAACCGCTCTTTGCGCAAGTTCTGCACTTGCACCGCACTTACTCTGCTCCCAGAATTTGGTTGTCGAGCGAGGTAGCTACTGAGTGAGGCACTGAGCGAGCAAACCCACAATTCAGAAAATTAGAAATTAGCATCAAAACTTTTCTGCGCAGGAAAAGAAAGTGAAACATGGAGTTCATGTCCTATTCAGGTAGCGCCTTATATTACACACAGATGCTGAATTTGCGACAACACTTTGCTCTAAGGATCTTTGACGCTGGCATCTTTCGTTGAAAAACTAGGTCTGGTACCAGCAAGTTGGCACGGGGCTTTTCAAAAAATAAGGTTCAAGTAGCACACAAATGCACACACAAATGCCAGGTTAATTTTGATGAATCGCACGCAATTAGAGACACGGAAATAATACAAGTAGTACCCGGGCAAGCCGGGGGCGGAAGTTTCAAAATTAACAATTATCCCGGCAAGAGACCCCAAACAGTGTGCTTTGAGGAAGCGAAGAAGAATGGGAATAGGAGAAAGAAAAGTGTGCACACAGCTGGTGATATGTTAAGAAACAGAATGTCAGTTGCGCACCAGAATTGTCATAACTCTTACCACCCCAAACAGTCTCAGCTGCATTTAATGCATTTTTTGGTGCGGAAGCGGTTTAACGGGAGTCAATAGCAGAGCAAGGCAGCAGGGACAGTGCGCGATGCCGCGGCAGCTGCACCAAGGAAGTTGCTAACAAGAGCCATTTTGTGCGGAAATTTGCGGGGAAAATGCCGGACGCGCCGGCTACCACCTCGATTGAACACCGGGCCATGACTGTTACCGTAAGAACCCCTCAGTGTGGCCACACTGTTTGGGGAACTATATGGCAAAGAAGCAGAACGTGCCTATCGGCCTATAGAATGTCAAGCAACTCCGCGCGCGTTGCAGGAACAATCTTGTTAAACAGCATCACGTGCTTTGCAAGAACCATCTCTTGACATCTCTGTCATCTGATTTTTTTTCATTTCTTTTCTCGAGAGTTCCTTCCAATCTCTTCTCATCTGGTTTCTTCTCGGTTCAGCTCATCTGTTCGCATTTTTTCTCATTTTTTTTTTCTTCGTCTCAGTTTCTTTCAGTTCATCTCGTCTCAGTTCTTCTCACCTCTTCTCAAATCATCTCACTCGTCTCAGCTCATCTTGGCTCTTCGCAACTGATTTCACCTCATATCGGTTCATTCCAATTCTTCTGAGTTTATGTCAGTTCTTCTCAGTTCGTCTCAGTTCTTCTATTTTTCTCAGTTTTTCTCAATTTTTCTCAGTTAATGTCAGCTCGTCTCAGCTCATCTCAGCTCTTCTCAAACAAAGTTTACATGCATTTTTGTTCAAAACCTGCAAGTTGAAGTTGTAAAAACGAAATTTTCGCGCAAGACCTCCTTCAAATCCTGCAAGTTGCAGATATGAAAACGACGCTTTCATGCGAGACTGCCTTCAAACACTCCAAGGTCAAATTGTGAAAACGAAGTTTTCGTGCAGATTTCCTTCAAAACTTGCAACTTCAAATCGTGAAAACGACGTTTTAGTGCAAAATTCCCTTCAAAATCTGCAAGTTTAGGTTGTGAAAAGGACGCTTTCGCGGAAAACATCCTCGAAAGCTGCAAGTTGGAGTTCTGAAAGCCTATGTGAATTGGCTACGGTATCGTGCAGTCCAACACAGGTTCTTTTGCTACTGGCGTAAGCGGTATAGCTCAAGGGCCCTATTAGCCGAAACGGCAACAGACATGGTATGTGACAACCTGGCCTTTACATGGAAAGTCAAACACCTCAGATTGACACTCAACCTGTTCTACAGGTGTCACATCGCTCTATATACACCTATGTCTGTACAGGGCATTACGGAGAAAAAGGGCGCAGTGGTATTTCTACTGCTTCTGTACTTTGTACATGCATTCTGCCAACACACGGATCATAAAGTCCGGCTTCATGCTCTTCGTGAGACAGTCACTGATCATGGTATGGGTAGCTATCCAAGACAGCTTGTCTCCTCCATTTGGGTAGACATCCCAGGTTTTCCGATCATCGTTCCAATAGGATTCATGTATGCTCTGTAGCTCAATACCTAGTCTCTTGTCACCCACTCTCGCGAAGATTTCAGAGGCCAAATGGTCTGAAAGAGAACGGCAATCTGTGAGAGCTAAGTGTGGCACACAACTCCTGGCATCGATCTCCCATGTCCTTAAGGACTTGATCTGACCTTTGATCTCTGCCAAGACTCCCCTGAGCTTGTTTCCTGCCTCAAGACCGTGCTGCAGTGAATATGTCTCAGCTTGAAGTGTGCTTCGGCATACACGTCGGATCGTAGTAGAACTGTAGGACAGAGGCATCACCCTGTATGTATTGCAGTTGCTACTCTTGATCTCTGCGAGGCCTCCAAGAAAGATAAGAAAGTGACAGCGTCCCTGTTGAGAACGGTAGTTCTGTTCGTTGGAGAAAGAAGCGTCAGTGATCGTGATCAATCCAACCTCATCACATTTGAGATGACCGCATGGAAAACGAAGTCTCACCTGGTCACCTTTGTGAGCAAGCTGCACAACTGCATTTGCATCACATAGAGTGCTGACTGTGGCATTCTTGATCGAAGATTGTAGGCGGCTAACTCGATATGCCAAATCTGGTCTTGTTTGGCGTGCAACCCAAGCTAGTGACCCGGTCACCGACCTAAGTCGTGTGATGTCATCACCTGAAATCTTTTCATTGCCTGAACGGCCTGCATCAACTGGGATTGGTTTAATCTTCCTGGTATTGTTGGCAGTGTCAACAAAAATATCTCCGTCACCTGAGCGCGAAAACTGCTTTCCGCAATACCTGAACTCGTTCACCTCGGTGCTGCCGATGTTGAACTTATTCAGAAAACGCTCAATGGCTTCCTTACCTTCAGGTAAGTAGCAGTACAGAAGATCGTCAACATGCGTGCACATTAGCGAACATGCGTCTCCGTCACTCCCCGGAAGGAAGTATAGACCTGGGAAAAACTGCGATGCTTTCATGCCTTCTTTCTTTGCATCTCCGCCCAGTCGCAGCCAAAATCCGCGTCCTGAATCGGTAAGTCCATAAATTGGCACCCTCACAAGATAGACGACTCCCCCCCTCGCGGCTGTCACATGAGGAGCACTCGGTCCAACGGTCGTCCCTGGAAATAGGCTGATGTTACATCGGCCGAATGCAGGTCAAGTTCATGAGCTGCGCACCAGAAACAGATAAGGTTGTGAACCTCAATGTCCGCTGTTGGGCTGTCTGACCTTAGACCCTCACTGCACTCGAAATTACCGCATGATACCAGCCGACTCTTGTATTGAGGCTGATAGTTTGGATCACGGCCTTTCTTGTACTGTGCCTTGTCAACATCCACCCTTTTGGATGGTATGATCTGATGTCCCTCAGCAAACAAGTTCTTGGACCTGATCCGGAGTCAGTGGCACAACTGCTCCAAAGCTTTCAAACTTCGACCATTCCTGTGCTCGAGACGCTTGCAACGCTTTCTGAACCTCTGGTGGTGCTGATTCAAAGTGAATGCTTTTCAAGACCTTCTTGCCTTCTTCTATAATCTCGTCCTTCCCTGCCATGAAACATGTGAACATGGCTGTAGCTTCTTCAATCTGCTCCACAGTCCACTGTGCGGCCCCATTTCGGGCTCGTTCAAAATGGTTTTTGAGGGATACTGGAAGGTCATTAAGATTGTCATAAGGATTGGGCTAAGCTTGTGGCCGTGCAGCTTGAGCCTGCTCTGGTTGCTCTGCTTCAGCGGGAGGTCTCTCTGCTGAATCAATGGGCTCACGTCTGGAGAATGCTAAAGATGATCCCCGCTCGCTCTCAGGCTGAGTCTCGAGACGAGGTCTCACATTTCTATCGGCACGAGGGGTAGCGTTTGACCGTCTGTCTTGACTGGAATCTGCTGCCTCGATCAACTCTTCCGTGGCATCGGCTCCGTCAGACATGTCTTCACCATCATTGGAGATTCCGAGCCTGGGTACCCCTACGTTATCAAGTTCATCATCTTCGGGTATTGGTGGTAAATTCTCATTACTGTCTCCCCAATCTATGAATGGAAGTTCAGTCCCTTCATCTGCGGTTCTCGGCTCTGGAGTTTCGAGAACGGATGGCTCATATTCATCGCCATGGGACTCTGGATAAACACGAGCGTCCAAAAAGGATTGTTGTTCACCTCCAGTCACGACTTCTTCAGGAATGACAGGCTGTCCATGGAGAACTGAATGCGCTAATGCTTCACTTGGGGTGGCTACCTTCACATTCTGACTGGCTACTAATACTGGAACATTACCGCAAAGTAACCACAAATTTCTCTCTCCCTCATGACCTATCACTCTGCTTGTGGGGCTCCATCGTGTACCTCCCCTTTGATTATCCCTACGGAAAGTTACTAAGTCCCCAACTTCAAAGTCCCTTGGAAAAGGTGATGTGTTTTTGGTCATCGCTCTTTGGACACGTTTGGAACAATCAAGATATACGAATGCTTTCTGTGCTTCTTGTCTTGCAAGGTGTTGCAGTGCAAAGATGCTCTCAGGATTGTGTTGGGCCTCCAAGGCTCCGAGCTCTGCAAAGCATTCTTCGGATAACGGACTAGGATCTGAGCGTGGGGCTTTGCCCAAGACCCATTGCGACGGTGAAAAACCTCCCACTCGGGATGCATTGTTCTTCACCATGAGCACTTCTTGCAGGACTGACTCAACCTGTTCTCTGCCAAGAGGCTGAGTCTCTTTTGAAACCTTCCGGAAAAGAGCTTTGGCT